AAATTTCTTTCAGTTTCTTTCATTTGTTTAAAAGTTTGTAAAAAGTAAAAATTATTTTTAATGTGTATCATAAGTTCATTATTAATAATTATTCTTATCAACTATTAATATTAATTGAATATGAATTCATAATTAACAGAAAACTTTTTTTATAATTTTTATTTTGGCAACCAACTTAATTCAAACAAACAAACAAACAAAATTTAAATTGTTTATATTCTTTATTTATTTTATTACCTTAAAGAGTATTCATTCATTTGTATCTTATAAAATGTTAATTAATCAATTCCAAATTATTATATAACTATGTTACATTTATCCAAAATGAATAACTATTTCAAACCCAATATTGATTGAACTCCACTAGTTATAGCTAGGCTTTAGAACTTCAAGAATTGTATTTTAAAACTAGTTACTAGGTAAGTAGTATAGTTTCATGAAATTCGTAGAACTTTTATGCCTTGAATCACGAACTAATCTTAGCTAGACTACTAATGAAAACCAAGATAACTTCGTGATTTAAACTATGAAGGTTTTACAATCTCTATAAAATCCTATAATGATAATAATTATATGCTCACTAGTGATCGCGTTCAAAATACAATTCCTGGAGTTCTGGTGACAAGTGGAGTTCAATCATATCGGGTGTGAGTAGCTATTTATCTTCACCAATGGACGTTTCTCGAGAAGTATCAATAATTGATTGAATTGACACACACCGTCGCTCCCAAATGCCCTGGTACTGACCAGAGTAGGGAGAGTCAGCTCTCCCTCTCGAAATGCTCTCACATCGCAGTGTGCATACAACCACTGCTAGGGAAATCCTACTCACTGCCTTCTCGTGGCAGGGGTGTTGTTTACGAAATTGAGAGGACGAAAAGCGAATGTCCGGCACTCTAACCGGGTTGGTCAATACGAAGGATCCACCTAGGGGATTTGGAAAACCCTGATTCCGAACTAATGGTGTACATGGGCTGCAGTATCCTGAGGGGACAAATGGCGTATGAATTAATCGTTGGTCACCTGCTACCATGGGACTGCATCTCCTTGTAGCGTCAGTTATTATGTTAAGCCCATATTCTAGCTTTCGGATAGCCCAATCTATTCATCCTGCTTGAGTCATATTTTACCCTTGTTAATTATTCGCTTATACAGTCTTCACTGTTTTTATATGAGCGTATATGTGTGTACATTTCTTATCCCATTACTCATCACATGTGTGTAACTTATTTTTGTGTAACTATAAATATTGATTAACGCTTGACTAAAGGGAGTTGGCTTACCCGCCATCTCCACTGCGCGTCATTTTGCTGCGCTCTATTCCATTCGTTTCATATATAAAATATATGTATTCAAAAGTCCATTCTCGTTATTTGACTTATCTAAATCCGCTATTGACTAACGCGATTAAAGTCGATGATTACATACGAGGATAGGCGACATATATATTTCAATAACAATAATTCATACGATCAACTTGGAGTCAGAAGTCCGGCCACTAAAGTGAAGAGCCCGTCAACAAACATCGTCCGATATAAATGACGATAAAATTAAGGGCCCTACATCCTTACGATGCTCCACTGCTTTTTGGATTAGACATTTAGGTCGAACGCTCCGGGTGTGGCTCTTTAAGAAAACCACCTGTTTCGGCAACCGGGCAATACCACAGCCCTCACAAAAACCAAATGAGATTTGTGTGGCGAATATGTATTTGGTTCCTCCTTGTACCAGTATTTATGTGTTCAAATAAATAAATAAATAAAATTAGTAGCCTAGAGTTCAAGCATTCACTCATTTGGCAGAAGACTTTGGGTTCAATGCTTGGCGGGATCGTTGTCTCGTACTTAAGAGGAGTTCTATACTAGGAAGAAACAGCTGTTCACTGTTCCCCTGTTCTGAATAGTGGTCTAGCTAGGATCAGTTCGTCATTCAAACCATAAAAACAGTTTCTATAAATCGCTCTACAGTTATTAATAAACTTTTGCGAAACTAAACCTTATTGATTAACATAATTAACTTTAAAGCTTACTACATCCAATATGATTCAAACAGTCAACAATTTTGTATTTATTAGGAATTGTTCAACCAAATAAATTGTTAATCATTGATTAGAACACGATGATCCAGTATAGCGAATTTCATAATATAATTATTGTATTTTAGTTTCAAATGTGGAAGTACCCAACTGATGAAGATGTGCCTAACTTCTCCAAGGTTCACAGTCTAATGTTCAGAATTACTAAGTTACAAGATGTGACTGTGTATTGCATAATTTGCTTTGATACTGACCCGTTTTAACGGAACAAATCACTTATCAAATTACAATTCGTCAATTTCGCACTCTTTCCAATTTTTTATTATTGTTATTGACTTCCTTTTGATAAGTTTAACAACAAACCATATCTCCATGTATTCAAGCATTTATTGTTATTTTGTATATCTTATATTGTTAATGTGAAGTGATGGGAACTGACACATAAAAAGCAGTGATTACATTACTGTATTTTAAAACATGTTAATTATACTCCATCAACTATCTGGTCTGAATATGTTATTCACTTTGAATTTGTTTACATGATAAATCGCATTTGTACAGCTTACTTATCAAACAAGTTCATTCAACGTTATTCATCTGAAAGGTTGACAGATTATGTAAAATCATGCATTTTAGTTGTGTGTTGCGATTGAAAAGTCGATAAAAAAATCTACGATAAAAAACGAATAAGGATAATAGAAAACATCTTTTTCAATCCATCGTTGATGGAGTAAAATGATTTAATTGATTAGAACCAAGAGTCAAAGACTTCCAAACGGTAGAAAGCTCACAAAAACTTAAACAGAAAAAAAATCTACCTAAAGTTTGTGTTGATGGTGTTGTTCACAAGAACGATAGATATCTCACAATTGAACTTTTCAACTGAGAGAGCAAAACTCCAAAAAAATCATCTATTAGTCAAAAAGATTACTGTAATGATTCAATATAAACTCTTCAAAAGTCTATGATACTTATTAAATGTGCTATCGTGTAAATCTATCGAAAAGTTGCTGTTATATCCAAGATACTAAACCTGAATAGTTATTTGACTGGTTTAGGCGTTTTTGTTTTTATGATACGTTACATTACGGGCTGACTTGAACTAGACAATTACTTAGACAGCTGTTTCATTACAGTTGTTCAGTACTCTCAGTTTTTCAACAGATGTTTCTGGTTTAAGTCGTTTCTTGATACAAAACATCTCCAAACCGTTTTTACCAGTAATAATGATTTGGATTATTCCATTTGAAGCAAAAGTCATTGAATGTAAGTCCTACTATGAACATCAACACCAGAATCCAGATACGTCGAGCTGACGAGTCCCGAATAAGGCGAAATGTGCGTTCTGGATTCTACTGTTACCCATAATCCATATATCTTTACAAACCCCTCATCTAAATTATTTATTTATTTTGGTAATTTAATATCATTTAATGAATTCTATATCTGTTCATGAAACTCATATTTCTAACAGTCGAAAGCACACCAAAATATATCTTGAAAATAAAACACAATCGTTTTTGCGGTTTTGTTCTCCGAGCTGGATGGTTTCCTCGTGGAGCTCTCATCATTCTCCTGATGATGTCGTTCGGAAAGACAATGAGAGCGCTACGGTCAAACCATCCAGCTCAGAGAACAGAATCATCCACCTAAGCTACAAACCCCACTATTTCGAAACGCAATTATCATTATATTCATGCTTCGTTAGGAGTAGCAAACCAATTGTATATGTAACTGTTCTTCTTTGTCTTCTCTCTCGTTCGCTTATCCAATCAAACTAAATTGCCAATAGACTATTAGTTAACTTAAAGTATTAATCAGGATAAAATTCGCGATCACGAAGTTTTATCGTAGAATATAACTATTTGTCAAAGGATCTTTCAACATGTGAACCTAACGATCAACTCAATTAAGCTCAGCAGTTGCGAAAAAATATCGAAAAGATAAACACAAATCTAGTTTTTCTATTGGTTGTTTGGGTCTTCCCATTGCTGTTTGAGACTACAATTGACCAGTCTCTTGTCAGCCACAACTTTACAGCCAGTGACTGCGTGATATAAATAAGTTTTGTAAGATGAGTGGCATGTATTTCAAACTCAATCATTTAGTACGAACAATTTCACATTGCAACACTGTAAACTTTAAATGGACCCTCTAGAGTTGTAGCTCATTAGCGCCACTAGATAACTGAGTTCACAGAAAACCAGTTACCAGATAACTAGAACTGTGAAATGATGAATACCTTCGGCAGTTATGATTTATAGAACACACTACTGATATTTGTTAAGTGGTTGATCAGCTTTAAAACTATCCTTTGATTTCATTCATGTTGGGATGGCTCCCAATCTAATCAGAACCCATAGAACGTTCTAGCATATCAACGTGGCATGCTGTGATTGGACAATGATATAACTTTCTACTTGTGGATTGGCTGGTTTATAATGATGTTATAGTCTGTACTAAAAACTATAAATGCCCCTGTCTTTCTGTACAGTTTTGACACTTACTCAATGACCACTCCTACTGCTTTCTTTCGTTTTTGATTTGCGACTGCGTCGGTTTCTCTGAGTTCGAATGCCGACAGCTGTAATCAAGTAGAGAACATAACAATTCAGTTACTAAATACAGCTGCTTTACTCGGATCCAAACCTTATTGTTCCATGACTGAGAAACAACGTCACAACCTAGGTAGCCAGAACCGAAGTAGGTGGAATGAGGCTTAAACCTTCGGCCTCGGAGTAGTTCTTTGACAAGAAAAAGCTAATGCACCACAATTAGAAGAACAGCCAGTCAGAGAAGTTTCACCATCAGGGTGGTAACGACAACAACAAATAAATTTTGCGATTTCCGAGACACATCAATCGTCCGTACACAACAATATAACAACTTTTCATCATGAATCAATATGCACAAGTATATTTTATACGAAATAATAATAATAATACAAGGTTCAAAAGATAATTCATTATCCAATTGATTTCGGATGGTTTGCATATGTCTCATTGTAGTCGACACTTGTTTCAAGAAGACGTTCACCTATTGGCGTGAAAAGAAGAAGGGAAAAAGCATCGGTAATTTTTGGGCTGCAATATTATAAGTGATCTACGAAGGTAGTCCGATTCACAGTTAGTTTTTATCAATAACTAATGTCATGTAGAGTAATTTTGATAACCATAAAGCAGTTTGGATAATTGTTTTGCGTTAGCTTGATATTCATTGAAAATAAACGATCCCATATGGATTAGACTTAGAATCCCAAAGTTTCAATTCTTTGGGAATTATCTATAAATCCACACAGTTAAGTATTATTTCTACAATTAGATTTGATAAGTGGGAGAAAAACAACGCAAAAGATAAAAACTTACGGATTAATTCAGCGATAGCACGTTGAGTTCGACGTTCTAATTTACGCAATTTCTTCTCAACACCCCTTTTTAAATCCCAATCAGGTTTACGAGGTGCAAGACTTGCCAAATTCTAAAGAATATATGAAATAAGAGTACAAATTTGCATTGGATGTTAGGAGAAATAAAAAGAGATTATAATCATTGAATTAGTAATTCCCTACGTTGACTTTTTAAAATTATCATTGATACCACTATTACTATTTCAACTCCACTCATAGATCTTGTGAGTTTTTTTACGCAAACAATGGCAAATGAAACCTCTGCATATTTATGCCAGATCTTATAGTTGCTTATAAATGATGAGAATGAATTTTCAATCAATGTATATTGCCTTCTAACCGCCTTGATTTAAACAGTCAGTTAGCGGCATTGACTGTCGCACACTAGATATGGATTAAATTCTAGCCTAGTTTGAAAAAGTAACTCAATAACCGATTACAAGTTTATACTCTAAAAGCTGTATAAACCACAATTTCTATGTGAAAAGTGTAAAGAATAACTGATCGCCTAAGTAGAAATAACCACAACAAACTTCTAAATGGAACATAAATAACCAAATGTGGCAGAATACTCAAGGAAGTAACTAGACTTTGCCTCTTATAGTACACAAACCAATTGTTAACCGTGATTTCAAGTTTTTGTTTATCTACAGTAGTGTTTGTTAGACACCACAGCTATTTGAATACAATTCATCCAAGATCTCATACTGAAAATTATTATCTGCTCACTAGTTACTAGACTCAGAAGGAAATTTCCGTCATTCTAGTGAGAAACCGTGACCAGTGGAGCTAATCCGTGTCGAGTGAGAGACAGTTACCTACCAAACACAATTTTTTTATTTAAGCACATAAAAATTGGTACAATAGGGCACCAAGCATATATGCGCCACACTTCATCATTCGCTTTGTTTATCGAACACAATGGAAGATGTTCGTGCAATCTCGTGGATTGATTGATGTTAAACACAAACACTGTTAGATGACGGCTCAGTGGTCTAGAGGATAAGCGTTCTCGTGCGAGACCGAAGGTCCTCGGTTAGGTTCCCGCGTGCGTGCTCGTCGAACCGCACTTCTGATGATTCCTATAAAAGACGAGACGGCCAATCAGTGCTTCTAGGTATTCAATGGTGGTCCAACTTAGATAGAATCATGATTTCAGTCAAATAAAACTGGTTAGCAGTGACTTAGTAGGATAAGATAGCCCACTAAAAGATTACCATTTTAATGATCTCTGCACATAAATCTTTTTTATCGCGTAATTATTTCAAGGTTAATTTTATAATAGTGCAACGTAAGTTGCCTAATTAGGTTCACTATCATCAATCACCTAAGAAAAGCAACCATCAAATAACCATTAATCAACACCAATTGTTACATATTCATCGTAAATTAAGCAACTTACAACTTCATCAACAATAACTGGTGCATCGGCAGCTTCCAGTTGTGCAATGATGTGCTTGTTCACTGCAAAAAAACAAATATAGTACGGTTAGATGTTCAGTAGAAAACTTTGGACGTTTGTAGATGATGGAAGAATAAATTGAAATATACATGAGATCTGACTAGCAATGAAATTCAAAACTCGAGTTTCGTCCTGTTTGAGACTCGTCAGTCGGATGCTCCTGCATCCTAGAGTTGATGACCTAATTCTAACCACATTCCATCTATTCTATGTAAACATATGTTATCATGAGCAAAGATGGACGGTGGCTAGCAGTGGAATCTAGGACACACGTTTAGTCCTATTCAGGACTCATCAACTGAATGTACCTATATCACCAGTTGATGTTCACTCCAAAACTTGAACCTAGTACCGTTCGCTTCAAACGCCATCGCGTTATCCATTTAACTACTGAATTGAAACGCACGTCCTGAATCCCACTACTAGCCACTAATCATCTCTGCTTATGTTTGTTACTTAATAGCAGTATCGAGGTAATCCTCACAGGATGCAAATATGCCAATAAAAAACTGATCAATTACAGTTTTAAATATCAATAAGAATATCCAAACAATCAATACAAAAATAAATATGTTATAACGGTTATTATTATTATTGAAACAATCCACACAGAATGAACATAGATCCTGATTATGACTAACTAAATATTAACAACAGGATAATTCAAACCATTACAAATTAGATTGAAATTTAATTATCTTCTTTCTATTCTGAAATACTAATGAGTTCTGTTAGAAAAATGATTCGAAGAAGTGAATTTAAATGTTTACAAAACTTTTTATTTACTTGGAAGTCAATATAGTAATGGAATAGGAAACTGATAAGTCATTTGTTATAACGATAGGCTTTCCATATTTACACGTATGGGACGTTAATTTACCTTAGACGAATATCTACACTAGATTCCCTGCCGGTGTCTATTCTATACGACTTTAACACAACTCAGATCAAGAACACGTGATTAGCCTGACTAGAACACAAAAACCCGACACAATACAACAACAATGAACAATCAATAATCAATGATAACTCATCTGACATCTATCAGACTATCAACATGTCTGACTAAGCAAACAACCTATCATTATCATTTTCGTCCACACATCATCATTACAAACATTTGTTGGATGAAGGGTTATTATCATTAACACAACCGATAATATCCTAAATTAATTTAATTATCAATTACAAGTTTTGTGAAGTAATTATAAACAATAATTACTATAGTGTATATTATCAAACTTTACAAATTATTTCTAGGAATGAAGGGAATATCTAACAGATGATAAAATATATTCAAACGCAAATGAATTCTTTTTAATTGTGGATACATTCGTTTCATTTTATAAAAAATATCAACAATCCCCCTTGTGTATCATCAGGCTTTGCCTTAATACACAGTAATATATATGAGAAATATTAACTCAGTCAAAACGATTTGTATGTCAATGATAATAATGGTCAAATGTTACATGTTCAGCATAAATCTGAAAACAGTTTGTCGATCCGAAAGTTTCCATGTGAATTATCAATTTTCATCGTTACAAGATTTACTGTGAAACGATTTCTACACATTAGATTGTAAATATTGTTCACTGAAAAGATGGGACTGTAAAACTGTGGTTCAAATGGTAGTGAGGACATGCCTGAGTCTCTTCAGTGCACAACTAAACGTTTATCGCTGCGATTAAATTATTGAAAGTGGAGTGTTCCGACCAACATAACACTTCCACTAACAACTTATAGATACACACAAAAAGAGAAACAGAGAGATGGACAGTCAGACTCAGAAGTTTTATCCAGGTACTGATCAGTATGTGTAGTACCTAGACGTAATATAGGGGGATGATGATAGAAAGTAGAAAACCCTCCTCAACCTACGTTTCTTGGAAGTTGGAACTCGTCAGTAAGGCGTATCTGGGAAAACTGATTTAGAACCTGAGTCAATCAGCTCCATAGTCTGAGACATCACTACTAAGCTATTTAGACCGTGACCACCTGTAGGAAAGAAATATTTGAAAATTAATTTATCACTGAGTAGTAGTGACTGTCATATTTTTCTAGTCCTTTAGTGCTGATCAAATTCGATGAGTCAAGTTCTTTTTTGGCTAATAGTCCTAAAGCACTGGACAAAAATTACTTTGATCACTACTTAATAACTAAACTGATTGAAAACTTAGTTTAGATTATTCTTATCTTCTTAAGAGATAAACAATTTCCAGGTACTTACGATCTACCGGTTTACCAGCAGGCAATTCACCATCTTTTAATTCTTCTGACTGTGGTTTGTAATTTCGAAATATCGGTTTGGGTAATTCTCCATTATCGCTATTGTTTAAGTGTATAATACTTTTATGTGATGCATTTTTCATACGTAATTGCTTTAGACGCTCTTTACGCCTTAAGGCTTCATCACGCATATGTCCTATGGATTGATCTGTTTCATTATTATCATGATTATCACTAGTCTTGTTTTCTTTATTTTCTGACAAAACTAATTCATCACTTCCATGTTCTGGTTCTTGATCAATATTGTCAAGTGTAGTCATCTAGTCTGAAATATTAACACAGCGAAAAATTGATTAAAAATGCTACCAATCAAATTTAAAAACGATAATTTTAATGAAATAACAGAATGTTTGAAATGGTTAGCAGCAAGTTTGAGTTCCCTGAATGAACACTTTAACAGTGATTGGAATCCTAGAAAGTTTATCGGAATTCCAATTATGCAGAAAAACAACTAATAATTATAAAGATATGGCCAAAATACTGCAGAACCTCAACTATCGACTAGTCTACGTGATGACTACAAACCTTCCGGTTTATAGGCAGTTAAAATGTATATACATGGTATACAATTTTCGGCAGTCGCTGAAAAACTGAAGTGAATTTGGTTTTTTTTCTTGTGGTAAAACACTAACTAAATATTAACCATCCCTATAGCAGCTGCTACCATGATGTGGTGGTTGGACTTGGATATTGTGATGATCTAGTTGAGTTATGATGGCTGAAATATTAGTTCTCTTAGGTTCTACCATGTTAGGCGATTTGGTTAGGTAATGACCAGACTAAAAACAGTAACTTCATGTCTGAAGGAGGGGTCATACTGCTAGCTATAATAGAGAGTACTTACCGAAGACCAAAACCCATCCCTTGAAATGTTTCAAACCAAGTTAACTCATGAAATTTACATGATCATCCGAATCTATGTTCATGAAAATTTCTGAACTAAACAGAATGTAACGGAATCAACCAACTATTATCATCATACCAAGAAAAAAATATTTGTTTACAATAATTAAAACAAATCTATGGATTTTAATCAATTTTACTGGGTTTTTTCTACAAACGGTGTGCGAATGAAATAAAAGTTTGACCGGAAATGAGAAGTCCAATTGGAACAAGAGTGAGAAATAAATACACACACACAAAGTAGACGAAATGATTAATATACACTGAAAGGAAACAGAATTCCTCGCTGTTGTGACGTCGTTCTTATTCTCGAATAATATTCATAAGAATGAAGCTAATTTGGCTTAGAATAACAGAAACAAAAACTAATTAAAGCTGTTTGATTATCCTAATCTTTTAAGACTCTATTATTACAAGCTGAGCAACAAAAGAGAAATCAAGATGTTTGTAGAAGAAAACACAGAGAAGGAGGAAGGCACGACAAAATAAACAGAGAATATTGAGGAGAAAAGCACATAATTTTCAAGCATTATCATTAACAATAATGATAACACTATTTACACAAACTACTTGTAGTGATTTTGAAGTAGTATGTCAAAAACAAATAATAATATTTTTGAAGTTTTTTTCACTACTGAAAATAGAATCATAGAATGATTGGAAAACAGTCAAAAAAGACATCACATCAAATGGAGACAAAATAAAACATACATAAGACCAAAAAATATCATACTAAGAGAAATGAAGGAATTTCACCGGGATATATAAAAATAGATATATATATGTACATAAGAATACATCAGCGAGCTGAAAAAAACAGGATTGAAAACTGAATGAAAATAAACTGACGTTTAATCTCTTTAATGTTTAGAAAGACCAGCGCTGGATATCAATCAGTCCAGTGTAAATGGTTGTAGGCGTGTTACTGTTGAATTATTTTCATATTGACAATGATCATTTAATAAAATATTTGTGCTGTAAAAGATGCCATTATTAATACTACTAGTAGTACACAACAGATCTGAGGCTAAATATTTACATGTTTCATAATGTCCGGTGGGAAGGAGTGAAGAATAAGAATAGGAGGAGGGGAAGCAAATTTATACATTTTTTAGATAGAAAAGATTTAGTTTCATCGATTCTCTAAAACGTAACGAGTAAAATTAGCTTAAGTTGCTTGTAAATTAAGAAAAACCATAAAGAAAAGTACACCAAAAAGGACAATACAGAAAAACATGTATACAAAAAGGGCGCTTAAAAATTACACGCGATTATTTATAATTAAAAGCCGAAAAAGATGTCCATTGAACATATACACACATAGTACAGAAAAATATTCAACAAGAAAAAAGAGAAGACAAAAAAGCGCTTCAAAATTTGTTCACATACACTTTCTTTAAAATGTAACCATAATTACAATACAAATAATAAAGAGGCTGATGATCATTTCATATTAGAAACAGAAGATAATAACTTTTGATATTCTGTTGATAGCTCTTCGTCAACTATTGCTTTACTCTGTTGATTTGGTTGAATTGGTTTAAATATTCTGTACTATCACACTGTATTTGATCTTCTGTTCGATTTAATATATCATTAAAGCATAATGTTTGATTTTTTCTTTTACATTGTAATATTTCACTATTGATCTTATTAGATCTATGATCTGTAAGTGTAGAGAAATTAATATTCATAGAATAGGGTAGACAAATTGTCGGTGGACATCCAGTACTACCACGAGTTGGTATAGTATTACTCTTATCATTATTACCATTAATAATGTTATCGGTAGTAGTAGTAGTAGTACTTAGAACATCTGGGCAATTGTAGACACCAATATCCTCCTTCCTAGAATAATTCATTAAAGATGTAGTAGTATATCTACCATTGCATAAATCTTTAGAAACGTCCATCAATGTGGTCGTAGTAACAGTAGCAGTAGTAGTACTGGTAGTAATACATGGAGAATAGTAACAGTAGTAGTATGGTGGTGGTGGATTACGATCTGTTTTCTGACTGTTAGTAAATAATTACTCATCACTGTGTTATTATCATTATTATTATCCTTCTCGTTAATGCCATTACTATCATTATTATTACTGTTATTAATATAGCTATCATTGTATTGTTGATTAATAACAGATAGACGGAGCAATGTAGTCAAACGTTTAGTTACACAACCAGCTGAAAGACGTGCTTCTGCATCTTGGTCCCAGCATTCTTCAATTGTTTCCACAATGTACATAAACCCTAAAAGAATGTAACAAAAAGGAGTAAATAGACAAACTGAGAGCTTTGTACTCTTCTAATTTTTTCTTTAAAAAAAGACTATGGTGTTAAGTAAGTGAATGAAATAACGACATTGAATTTTAGTCTACTTGTGGATGAGATCTCGATGTGACTGGTTGGTTTTAATATATCAATTTGCTAACCTTGTCAAAGTATATTGACTGAAGACTTTGATGTCTTTCGAACCCAAGAAATAGGACCAGGAGGTGATAAAACTAAAAATCAAGTAGTATTGACCAATATGAAATATACCGTTGTTTGCATAAACGTGTTTCAGCACTTTTCATGATCATTCAGTCTTACTCTTGGTTGAAGGATAAAGTAAATAATAAACTTTGAACTTAAGGAGTTCCATTGCCAACAATGAAATTGGTGCGATTAATGGATCTAACCTTAAAGATTGAAATCGATATGATGAATGTTACTTTATTAAAAATTTCATTTCAATCAGTTGGAGTTATTTTGAACTGTCTGATATGAATGTTAAACACTGTGTAGTGGAGGCAATTATTCCGGAATGACGACACACGAATGTAGTGGAAAATCGTAATTTGAAAAAGAATTTCGAATATACTGTACTCATCTGCTAAAAATGAATGGAAACAATGACCGGAAATTCTAGATACAGTCAACTCATTGGACATACAAAAAATTGTAGACCATTGAATGTTTTATATGTTTAAAAAAAGAGAAAAATATTTTTGGTAGATATTTTGATTGGTATTATATAAATATGATCATTAACCAAATAGGGGCTTGTAATATATATTGAGTTCTGAGTTACACTTCAGTTGTATGACAATTTAATGATTCTCTGTCTATCTCATCTGAAATAGGCGAAGCGGGATTTAAATCTAAAAGCCGCCAACTGAGATCTGAATACTTCAACAAATTAAGTCACTGTTTCACCTTAACAAGCAGATATGTAGAATGTAATGAATACCTGGAAAAGTATCAATCTTTATGAAGCATGAATTAACTGACAGATTATAGGTGAAATAACATAATAAGTACTTAATTTGAGCTTTCGACTTATTACAGTAATAGGATATCTAACACTAGTGATATGTTCACTCACTCTACGCTATAATACATAAAATTATATTTCTAAGTACTACTGATTAAAATTTTACCAAAGTATTTGATGACGCCAAAATGAGATAGATATCATTACAAAATAAAATCAATGGTTTAGTGAATTTCTTTTGTTTTCGTAAATAATTCTCTAATTGGTGTCAGGTTGTCATTTAGAAAAAATTTAAAAACTGGTGAGCAAACATAAAAGCATAGAAATTCGCCGACTAAGATAGTTCAACAACAATTTCAATATTTTACACTGTATACAACCTAAATTCACTTAGATTTGTTTAAAGTTGAAATATATATCACAAGAAATTATGTCTATGAAATCAAAACACATGTAAAGTGTGTATAATACTCAGATAGATGAAACTGTTATAAATTGATGCCTAGTATTGTAATAATGAACATCATAACTGATGGTTGAAGTCAGCTAATAACAACCGGAACATGGAACCTGTCATATATGTGCATCGGTCTAAGTTGCCACAAAATATCTGCCGATAGATGAAAATATTAAAACAAATATCAGAGTAGTAGGAATTAGAAACAGTATCAGTGGTAGTAGAAGACATTAGGCATAAACAATACGAATTCGTGAAATAAAAAGTGGAAGAAAATTTTAAAACTTAAAACTTAAGGGAAGGACAAAGATTGAATGTATCTGCGCGATTACGAATGATTCTGAGCCATTTCATTCAATTTTTCCAACCCCTAATCCTGTTTATTTCAGTAACTAAGTGTAAGCAGGGTAAATAAGGTATTGTGAAAGTTATCATAGAGGGAAATACAACCAGTCATTTGACTTTTCAAGCTATTGCATTGCATATTAAAATTAATGCTCTACATAACACCAAGCATTTTATGTGCATCGTAATATATATATATATATATATATATATATATATATGGGGCACCCCAAAAGTGCCCATTTACGACCCCGCAACATGGAATCCAAATCAGAGGGTCCGGTCTCGTGCATGAACAATTAACCTCTAAACCACTGAGCCATCATTTACCGGTGCTAGTGTTTAACTTCAGTCTATCCAAAATAGTGCGCGACTATCTTTCAATGCCCAATGTGGACAGCTGTTTTACACCCGACATGGTTGAACTCCACCTATCAACGCTTTTCATTAGGACTCCAGGAATCGCACATGGAAGCTAGTTACTATACGGTTTTGTGGTAATCATATGCCCACTACTGACTAACTTCAAGATGCAGTCACTAGAGTTCTAATGAGATGCCGTGACAAACAGAGTTCAACCATGTCGAGTATAAAACCGTTATTCACCTCGGGCAGTGGGAAAATGGTTGCAAAATGTTGTGACTTGAATGAGGTTAAGAGTAAACACTATTGGGTCGCAGCTCAGTAGAGGTTGAGTGTATACTCGTGAGACCAGAGGTTCTGGGTTTGATTCCTTGATTTGAGGTCATGGATGTACAATGCTGAGGAGTCCCATACTAGGACAAAGTGATCGCTCAGTGCGTCCAGGTTCTCAATGATCGTCTAAATAAGATCAGCTCGTGATTTAAACTCTATGTGAATTCTATGATCACCATAAAACTCCGTACTGATAATTCTGAATTTAATAGTTGAATTCATGAGTCAATTAAATTTAGATCACCATGGAAAACCTGGAAGCACTGGACGACTGTTTCGTCCAAGTACGGGACTCATCAGCAGTGCGCATCCACAATCCCGTTCGCGGGATTCGAACCCAGGACCTATCGGCTTCACGCGCGAACGCTTAACCTGAGTTGACATCCAATGGTGTTAATGCCTAACTTCAACAAATCCACTCAATCCTCCACAAAACCCCTTCAGATAATTCTGAATTTGTATATGATAAATATAAACGATATATTTTCCTTGGTCTTGGCTTTCTCATTTGAAATACTCATTCGGACACATGATTATAAAAATTGATGAAACGTTACTAAAAAGAACGTTATTTGATCAAATATTTGTTTTAATATGATGAAAATTTTTAATCATACAAATAATATTTTATGCATTTCTATGCTATGATTTTTCCATTTAAAATTATAACTTATCAAAGTACATGAAAAAAGGATAAAGGTCAATAACAATAAAGAGGAATTATCACCTCTCTGTATAATACATTCAATTGTATAGTGAAATTTGAAACTATGAATTATACGTCAACACAACTTACATGAATGATAATAGTACAAATTACGACAATTACTAATACAACTACTACAAAAGCATGTATTACAAAAAAAAATGAATAATAATAATGAACATTAATCAACTTTGAATAAATTTATCAAACAAAAAAAAACAACTGTGGATTCGTGAATGCAATTCATAAAAATTTTACTCGAAGCTCCCCACTCCACCCTTCCCCATAGTTGGACAGCAAAAAATGCAAATGGGTGCAACATTTTATTGTTTAAACGTCACCAAAGCATGATATTCTAATCTGAAGCTTTTTAAACTTATCCCGATTTCGAAAAGTATAATTATTTGTATAATCTCAAATGATGTACGACTAGTATAAAGATGTAACAACTAAGTGTAGAAAAATCAGTGTTAATCCCTGTGTGTGTGACGAATTCAATGATTGAAGAGGTTCCTCCGTCATAAGTGAATTTTAGCGCTCTTAAACCTTTAGATTATTGACCTCCAGGCAATTCGCTTCTAAACATATGGTGGTACGTTCGAATTCCATTACTCTACATGCATATGATTGACTACCACAAATTATTTATCACAGACTGATATTTGGTAAGATAACCATTGAAAATCAGAAGCCATGACCAGTGATGATTGTCAGTCGTATTAGGTACGAGACCTGGAGGTCTTAGGTTCGACTACTAGTACAGTAGTGGATGTACACTAATAAAGAATCCCACACTATGATGAAAGTTATTCAATGCTCCCTGATTTCCAAAGGCCTCCCAACCAAATTCGGTCTTTAATGTGAAATTCCAAATTCAACACTCCGCAATACCCTGCAATAAATGTTATATATTAGTCTACAAGTTGTAGAATACGTTGACTTTTCGTTTGTTTGGTGCTTAGATTATTAAAATCGTGGTAATTAGCAGTGTTATACAACCTAAAGTATAAAAAAACAATATTTATTATTTATTTATTTGGACACATGAATATTGGTACAAGAGAGCGCCAATATATATGCGCCACACAAAACAATGAAAATTCGAGAGGAATACAAAGAAAGAAAAAAAAAGCTAAGGAGCGCAACAAAAAAAGAGAGAACAATAACGAAGAGATTGGTGTAAGGTAATGTGCTAGTAATCAGGGAACGCAAAGGTACAATCGGAAGAAATCTTTCAGGTAAGGGAGACAGAACCACATTTTATGAAGAAAGTAAAAGTAGGTTACAGCAGGATCGCCACTGGCTTCTATTCTGAGCCATATCTGATAACGTCTCTAGCCACTGTGTTGCACAATCGCTCGGACCCCAACCAGAGAGTCGTGAAGGACCAACACAAGCCAGTCCTTTGCAGCTTTCTTTCATGCCACGACACCATGTCATGCACTGACCACCTCTCCGCTTCTTCCAACCAGTCCCAGAGTCGGCAAATAATGCACGACGTGGAATCCTCTGGGACGACATTCGGAGAACATGTCCAAGCCACCGAAGTCGGTGTTTCAAGATGGTGACACCAATGGCATTATCATCTCTGTGCCCGAACACACGATGCCGAACCTCTGCATTACTGACATGGTGTTGCCACTGAATGTCAGCAATCCTTCGGAGACAGCGATGATCGAACACAGAGAGTCGTCTAACGTCCTCAACTCGGAGAGGCCAGGTTTCACAAGCATAGAGCAAAACTGCTCTCACCGACGCGTTGTAGATCCGACCTTTTACAGCCAGACTAACATCACGAAGGCGCCAAAGGTGGCCCAGATTGGCATAAGCCGCTCTGGCTTTCACTATTCGTGCATTGATCTCATCACTCACACCACCACCAGCACTTATGCAGCTACCCAGATACACGAACTTCTCAACTACGTCTATCTGCTCACCATCCAGGGTGAGTACAGGATTAGAATCCTGCCAGTCTTGTAGAAGTACTTTGCACTTCGAAGGTGCAAAGCACATACCATACCTACGGACACTGATTGCCAACTGATTAAGTGCGGATTGCATGCCTTGGGCATTATCGCACAGTAAGACAATATCGTCCGCATACTCAAGGTCGAGAAGTCTTTCTCCAGGCAACAGATCCACACCACCATTACTTACATTCATCAGAGCTGTTTCCAGAATGTCATCGATGGCAAAGTTGAAGAGGAATGGTGAGATTGGGCAACCCTGCCTAACCCCACTGCTCGAATGGAACAATGGAGAGAGGTGGTTGTATGCCCTCACTCTGCCTGAGGTGTTTTTATATAGGGCTTTTAGGATGTTAATAAACTTCTCAGGCACACCCTTCTTCAATAGACAATCCCAGAGAACAGTCCTGTCCAACGAATCGAAGGCAGCCCTGATGTCAAGAAACACTACGATTGTTGGCCTTTGATAAGTATGGCGGTGTTCTAACATTTGGCGGAGGGTGAAGATATGATCAATACATCCTCGACCAGAACGAAACCCAGCCTGCTCCTCGCGAGTCAATCTTTCTCGGGTTTTGAACAACCTACGAAGTATGACGGAAGCCAATAGCTTGGACGCAATCGGAAGTAGACTTATCCCCCGATAGTTGTTACAGGAACGACGTGAACCCTTTTTAAAGATAGGGACAACTATCGACTCATTCCATGACGTTGGTACACTCTCTAGTTCCCAAACCTTTGTAAACAACGTCGTCAATTCCTTAGTCAAAAAGTCACCACCATCTTTAAAAAGAGCCGGAGGTAAGTCATCTGGGCCAGGTGATTTGTAACGCTTCAAGAGTTGGAGTTCCTTGCGGACTTCCTCCTCGTTTGGTGGATCAGTCGTCACCGGCCATGGAGGGCAGGACAGTCTGACCGATGTTGCCGGAGCAGCAGGCCAGTTGAACTGCCCTTCGAAAAATTCTGCCCATCGTCCAAGACGTCGATGGATGTTAGTGATTGGCATCCCATCATCCTCGCAGATTGTTTCACTCACACCAGACTTCTTGCTGCCAGTGGCTCGGATGAGCTGGAAGAGCTTCCGGTAGTTACCAGATGCAGCTGCTGCTTCCAGCTCATTAGCACGCATCGACCACCAGGCTTCTCGGTCCTTACGCAAGCTTTGCCCAATTTCCTTACGTAACATCCTTCGTTTATGGTCAAACTCACGGTCACCCGGAGTAGACCGACGGGCTTCAATGAGTTGTAAGGAACCAGAAGAAACCCAGTGCTTAAAAGCGGGACGTTTCGCAAACCCACAACTGACTGTTCCCGCCATTTTCATGGCGTCATGCAATTGCAACCAATGCTCATCTATACTTTTCGGTGGAGTGGTAGCTAGCCTAGAGGCTAGCTCGGTTCGATACTTACTTGCAACAGAAGTTGCAACCAGCTTGCTAACATCAATCCGTTGATGGCGGTCACTTCGTTGTCCACTGAAAAGTAAGGCAAGATTGGCGCAGACCAAGGCATGGTCAGAGTCCAGATAGGTACTCCAAAAGGAGCGGCAGTCTTTTACACAACCACGCCAGCGGTAGCTGATCGCGATGTGATCAATCTGAGTCCAGGCTTGAGATGCAGAGGGAGGACGCCAGGTGGCACATCGGCGATGACTGTGCCGAAAGTTAGTGCTAGCCAGAAACAGGTTGTGGTCTGTGCAAGTTGCAGTAGACGGTCCCCGTTATCTGACCTGCGACCAACGAGTCCCCATCGGCCACCTAAACGACTCTCTTCTGTGCCTAGACGCCCGACCTGAGCATTCAAGTCTCCGGCTAGTACTACAATATCTGTCGAACGCACTTTCTGGAGAAGAACAGATAACTGGTGGTAAAACTCATCCTTGATTGCATCCGGGCTGCAATCTGTCGGGGCATAGGCGGAGATGACGAAAAGACATCGTTTCTCACGCCGATTTCTTCTCACTTTGATGGAACTTTCTAATCTAACAGCACATAACCGACTGTTAATGGGGATCCAATCGACTAGTGCTGCCTCAGCTCTAGCGCTTAGTGCGACACCAACGCCAGCAAGACCAGACGAAGATGCCACAGGGTCCCCGGATAAGCGCACGTAAAACAAGCTTTTCGAAGCGACAGATGGAGAGCGAATTTGTAGTACTTCGCCAGAGTCTTGAATACGGGTCTCGGATAGACAACAAACATCAATATTAAGACTTTCCAAAGACATAGCCAGCCCTATCTGTTGACCAACCTGCATAAGTGTGCGAACGTTGAAGGCAGCCAGTTTGAATGGCGCACGTGGTTTCAGAAAAACTGCTTCAGTACTCATATTCGATGGTAACATACAACTTTCAACCGGACAGTGACTCGAGAACGTTTAGATACAGTCGGATTTCCACCAAAGACGAGCCGCTGTATAAGTATAAAAGAGGGTGAATAATGTGGGAAATAATAAAATAATAATAATAATAATAATAATAATAATAATAATAACGACAATAATAGTAATAATAATAGTATTAATAATGACAATAATAGTAATGATAATTATTTGAATCGACTGATTGTTTTTCGGAGCGATAAAAGTAGTTGCCAAAGACATAGAGTTCATTGTTTGTGTTTGGGCTGTGATACTGCCCGGGTGCCCAAACCGAAGCAGGTGGTTTTCTTAGGGGGCCACTCCCCGAGCCTTTGACCTAAAGGTCTAACCCACAAGGCAGTGGAGCATCGTAAGGAGATGCAACCCCATGGTAGCCGGTGACCAAAGATTGGTTCATACGCCATTTGTTCCCGCAGGATACTGGAGCCCATGTGCACCAACAATAAGATAAGCTTCTGCCCACTGTGTTAATGTATTCTTACATATATTCAGCCATAGCTAAGTTCATTGCTCCAGCGTGAATATATATATATATATTATATATATGAAAAATACTTCCCCATATATATTCTCACTAGACTCTAGAACTAGAGCTTATAACAAGTCTTAATCAAAAAGAAATAGCCATGTTTAAGACAAATACATTTTTTCATAACTGCAAGAAATACATTTAGGATGCTTTACGATACATAAAACGCCTTAAGAGGATATTTTATTATTCCTCTATTGATAATTAAATGAATGGTACACACAAAATTATATTTTTTTAAGAAAAAAAGAACCAAATATATTTAGAGTTTTTTGATACTCCAACTGAATTGAACTAGGGTAAATGAGAATAACTAGTTTATTTGTTGTTGCGCTAACGAAATATGCATACGGTCAAAATTTCATCTGTTATTGGAATGTACTTGGATGTGATTGTTATATTGGACAAAATTACCAAAGCATTATTTAAATTTATGGTTTACATCAAGAACTGACTTCAATTAGTCAGTTAGTTACAGTCAAGATAGAACTTAGTGAAAATTGTGTATGAGATCAAGTTACTACACCATATTAGAACAGAGAAGTAATTGTAACTAGACAACCTCTGAGATTTGGAGACCACTGTAAAACTATCCTCCTTATGAACTCGATTGGAGGTCTATAACGATAATAGAGGACTAGAGGAAGCGTATAACGATGATGACGGTTCATTCTTCAAATCCGGATAATTTGTTTAACCAGCAAATACCAACTTCGTCGCTAGAATGCTATTTATCATAGAACCTAGTAGTCCTATCTTTAATTCCATAAATTAAAATCTTTAGCCGAACCCTAACTAAGAAGTTTGAATTTCTCAACTTCCCAAAATGATGTCATGTTTTGATTGGCTATTAATCTTTTCCTCAATCTTCTCTTAAACTAACTAGCATATTAAATCAGTATAAACATATGATCAAGGTACGTTGATTTGCTAGTAACGCTAAGGTTCAGCAACTTGTATTCAGTTACAACGGCGACAACTGAATCAATTTTACCACCTTGAAACGCCGAATTTGATCGTCTAGATATCTTATACGAAAATCATCCCAACGGCTCCTACAACATGAACGAATTAACGACTCTGGGACTGTGTGGAATAAGCAGATAGATGGTCAGTTTATGATATAGTATCGTGACATGAAAAAAAGTGGTATAGGACTGGTATTTATCGGTCCCTTACGACTCCCTTGATTGAAGTCTTAGAGACAGTACAATTCAGTGGTTTGAGACCTTATCAGACATGGTCTAAAATAAAAGCCAGTTGAGATTGTGCTATTTTTCTTAAATTCCCCATAAAATGAAATGAACTCCCTTAAAAAAGCCTTTCTCGGTTGTATTGTTAACTGAACTATGATATTACATTATACATTATTTTTGTTCACATATTTGCTTTCTCGCTTAGATTATATCCTCTTTCCTTTTGTTTTTCTAATCCTTAATGATGTCTCTTTACTTTGTGTAGCGCAGTCTATTTTTAATGACCCGTTGTTTCAGATTTTAAGTGTATTAAATAAAACACATAGATCGAGTAACATATTAAGTTAGTGTAAACGGGCAACCAGAATGCTTTGATTTGCAAAATAGTATGACTTACAGGTGTCTGGAGAAAAATGATCCGTTTGTTCCAGTTCATTTAGAACTTCTATTCTGCTTTTTATTAGGTGTTAATAATTATTATCTTGTGAAAAATAGTTAATTTTACAACATAAAAATATATATCTGCATTTTTGTAATAAATCTTGTTAACAGAGAAAAATTGGAAGGAAATCATATACACTCACCCCATCTGATGCCCATTGTGGATTAAATTTAGGTCGTTGTTTAGCATGTGCTACCCATCGTTGTAATGCTTCCATTGATGGTTGTGGACCTAATTCTATTTCATATGGTGCTAAATAACTAGTAATATGAATTGCTGCATTTTTACTAGAACCACAACAACATCTCATCATTAATTCCCAAAACACTAAACCCATTGCATAAATATCGATACGAAGAAATGCATCCTTTGAAAACTGAATAGCGCCATCTAACACTTCAGGCGCCATATATCGACGAGTACCCAACTATGATAGAAAGAAATTCAATAATTAGATCAGCAGTATAAAAAAATGGACTTCTATGATTGACCATCTACAATACTGCAGCATTAGATTGATAAACATACCTACTAAATGACTGGTAAATGCAATACTATTCAGTTATAAAGATTAAAGGTCAAATAATGGTATATTGTACATCCTTACTAATCAATAATCGAGTAAATCACAAATCATAAAGTCACAGATTTGAAGATTTCCTAAAGCTATCAGATATATTTGACGGTAATAAAGTATTGACAAAGTAGGGAGATGGCTCGGTGGTTGAAACGCTTGATTTATAGCTACTAAACGTCAGATTTGAACTCCACTCTACATATTCCGGTTAAGGTAACCGAGCAGTAACACCATTCTCCATACTTTAAGTGTGCCTTGAAGTGAAGAACACGATTTTGTGCTCGGTAAGAAGTTAGTAGTAATGGGTTAACAGTCAAAGCAAAGGAAACTGATTTAAGACAGACAACTTTTATCGACCGAGCTATAAAACTGGACTTCCACTTCATTGCAATTTGAATTGAACTAATTTACCACAATTTGTTTACACCAAGATTTTCCATCTTTCGTTTCAATAGGTCGAAATTGGATGAAGAAGCTCATGAGTTTGTGATAGTTTACCAAAGAACCCAGTCTCAGTGATGCCCTTATCTGTAGTGAGAATATTTCTCACTTAAAGAATGTTCGTATTCAGTTTATAAGCTAAATCTCTATAGTTTGACAAATTGAACACAATTAAACAAAACATTTGATCAGCTGAATGTGATTAGAAATGAGTCAAACACTGATTATGCATATTAATTACGGTTACTGAGTTTCATACAAACGATAATATTTAGCAATACACAATACCACAAATCTTGAATAAGCTAAATGCTTGGCGGAAAGCTTTGGACCTAGGTTGTGTGGTATCTGACACTCTTCAGTAAGACATACCTGTAATCACCAAGGGACTGGTGCTCTCCGATAATGGACGCCGGTCTCCTCAAGATTACAAGTACGCCTCGCCCACAAGTTCCAACTAACACGAAACCTAGGTTCAAGGCTTACCTCTGCCAATTACTTCGACAAAAAACAACAACAGTGCACACTTCAAATAATTAAAATAACCTATTGTGTTGCTAAATAAAAATAAAGAGAATTCGGAGAAAATTTTCTTTGCGACGAAATCATTTACTGAAGCTGTACATTCGTATTTATCAAATGATAATAAGAGTCTTGAATATATTTACGATGCGATCTTTTTTATCCTTCTATAGACATATTTACCATACAACTAAAAAAATACGAATATAAAACATAAGTGATTTCGTCGATAAGAAAATTTTTTTCGCTGAATTCTCTTTATTTTTATTCAACAGCGCACATATTGTCAAGTTATTTAAACTAGTGGCCGCATTTAAACTCGACTGATAGAATTCGATCAGTCAGTATAAATTTCAAATAAATTATTCAGGTACCTCACTTGTTACATCATAATTTTAGAGTTGTGATAATATGTTATAGAGTTTCACTTAAATATATGAAATAATTAACAACAATACACTGAAAAAAATTTACCAACCTGCAAATGTGCATCTCTCATACACTGGCCAGCCTCAAAACGAATTGCCAAACCGAAGTCAGCAATACAAGCAGTAAGATCAGACTTTAACAGCACATTGCGAGAATTCAAATCACGATGAGCTATACTAGGTTTTGAAAGATTTGGAATTTCCATATGTAGATGAGCTAAACCTTGAGCAATACCAGTACAAATTTTTAATAAATCTATCCATTGTATATCATATGCATGAAGATAATCATATACGCTGCCTAATGGATGATATTCTGTTACTAACCAATACTCTAGTTTATCTTCGCCAATAGAATTATCCACAATGACCTACATATAGGTTTCAAAAACACAGATGAATACAAATTAAATACGAAATTAGTGAAGTAACCAAACAACTGAATATACAGTTATACAAGATATACTGAATTTATCTTCATTTATTCAACTAAAAATCTGTACAAGATGTGTGATGATTCTTGTGTCTAAACCTCTGAACTTTGTAGTGAATACATATCAAATATCGATAAAGTTCTATGAACAAGTACATTTATGTGCTCAAGTTATAATTAAAACTACATTGCAAGGACTAAACAAATACAGTTTGGTTATTTAAATCCAACTTACTGTAGTGATATTCGAAACTTTGACGTCGTATATTTGCATAACACGTGGCCCAACCATCTCAGTCGATGTAGGTTCACAACCTCATCAACTGATTTACCATTATCCCCTAATACCATGCGTCTGACCTCACTATTACTTACCCGGTGATCCCAGCAGATGCGAGCAATATTTCTAAGACATCTGTAATCAAATACTAGTAACTTACGAGTATCCTCTACCATTAATGGTCACGTTTCGCAGCCGTAAATGTGAATGACTTACCAACTGTAGCAAAGTCGCCTATTCCACTCTTTGCAGATAACAAAGAGTTAGAGATCCATACACAGTATGTCAGATAGAATAATAATACAGGATGACCTGAATTCACTAGTTGAACGGATGGGCAGGTGGCCTCTAGAATTTAACTCTAACAAGAGTGTGGTGATGCAAATAAATAACTGTAACGATCCATATCACTACACAATATGTGGAGTTGTGTTACCTAAAGTAACGAACTCAAAACTACGAGTAACAACACGACTTTCGTTGCCAAAGGCTTTAAGGTCTGATGGACTATTTGTAAGTCATTTCATTACTTGGACGAAGAAATGTTTAAGGTATTATACCCGATTGTTTGTGAGGCAGGATTTGAAATATGTAATTCAAGCAGTAGGTCCTTGTTTTAAGTATGAGACGGATGTGCTAGAATAAGTTCGACGGCGAAAGACTAAAATACCGAAAAGTCTCTCTGGCCTTTCCTATGAAAACAAACTGAGACACCTTGACTAATCCACCCCCAATCCCCTGGTACTGCCGAGAGTGGGGAGAGTCAGCTCTCCCTCTCGAAATGCTCACATCACCACACGTATACAGCCACTACCAGGGAAGTCTTACTCAATACCTTCTCACGGTGGAAGTGTCGTTTACGAAATTGAGAGGACGAAAAGCGAATGTCCGGCACTTTAACCGGGTTGGTCAATATGGAGGATCCACCTAGGGGATTTAGAAAACCCTGATTCCAAACCAATGGTGCACATGGGCTCCAGTATCCTGAGGGAACAAATGGCATATGAACCTGCTGTTTGGTCACCAGTTACTATGGGACTGCATTCTCTTACGTTGCTCCACTAACCTGTGGATTAGACCTTTAGGTCAAATGCTCGGGTGTGGCCTCCTAAGGAAACCACCTGTTTCGGTTTGGGCAACCGGGCAGCATCCCAGCCCTTACACAACAAATCAATGATAACTACTACTGGCCTCATTTTTATTGTGTGGCGCATATGTATTTGGTGCCCCCATGTACCAATGTTTATGTGTTCAAATAAATAAATATACGTAAACACATATTGATGCAGATTGCATTGAATTATTTGGTAATAAAAAGCGCCCTTAATTTAAAATATCTATTCATGTGATGATAGGAGCTATATATACGGTAATTACATCGTGTGATTTTAAGAGAATTTGAAAGCTCTATATTACCACCTAGCATAGCCAAAATTTCGTTTTGGTAAACTTCCAAATATTATTCAGAAATAATAGAGTAATGATTTCATTCAGTCATTCGAAAACTTTAATTTGACTTAACAGCTCTACGATATGAGTCAAAGTTAGCTCAAATATTTCTTTTTGAAGATCGAAAAATATCTCACCAAAATGCCTCAACACTAACCGTTTTAGATGTTCTATACGAAGCAGTTAGTTTTTAGGCATATATAATAGCCGCTCAATGAGACAAGTAAAGAGATACCAAAAATGACATCAGACAATAGAGGTGTAGTAAATGAACTGCAAATGAGACCTGAGTGCCGTAGGTGACTTGATATTAGTATAGAGCTATCCTGCGGGAACAAATGGCGTATGAACCAAACGTTGGTCACCGGCTACCATAGGACTGCATCTCCTCACGATGCTCCACTGCCTTGTGGGTTAGACCTTTAGGTCAAAGGCTCGGGGTGTGGCCCCCTAAGAAAACCTCCTGCTTCGGTCTAGGCACCCGCGCAGTATCACAAGCCCACACAAAAATATGATGAAATGTCGATATTTATGGAGAATACTTGTCTTGCTTCGATCAACAACCAAACGATTCACATTATTATTATTATTATTATTATTATTATTATTATTATTATTATCGTTATTATCATTATTATTATTATTATTTACGTCATTTATTCACTCTCTTTTATTCCCACTCTGTCTATCCTCACTTTTCGACTTATGCAGCAGCTCGCCTATGGCGGAAACTCGGTTCTATCTAAACGTTCTCGAGTCACTGTCCGGTTGAAAATTGTATGTTACCACCGAATACGAATACTGAAGCAGTTTTCTGAAACCACGTGCACCATTCAAACTGGCTGCCTTCAACGTTCGCACATTTATGCAGGTCGGACAACAGATAGGGCTGGCTATGTCTTTGGAAAGTCTTAATATCGACGTTGTTGTCTATCCGAGACCCGTATTCAAGACTCTGGCGAAGTACTACAAATTCGATCTCCATCTGTCGCTTCGAAAAGCTTGTTTTACGTGCGCTTATCCGGGGACCCTGTGGCATCTTCGTCTGGTCTTGCTGGCGTTGGTGTCGCACTAAGCGCTAGAGCTGAGGCAGCACTAGTCGATTGGATCCCCATTAACAGTCGGTTATGTGCTGTTAGATTAGAAAGTTCCATCAAAGTGAGAAGAAATCGGCGTGAGAAACGATGTCTTTTCGTCATCTCCGCCTATGCCCCGACAGATTGCAGCCCGGATGCAATCAAGGATGAGTTTTACCACCAGTTATCTGTTCTTCTCCAGAAAGTGCGTTCGACAGATATTGTAGTACTAGCCGGAGACTTGAATGCTCAGGTCGGGCGTCTAGGCACAGAAGAGAGTCGTTTAGGTGGCCGATGGGGACTCGTTGGTCGCAGGTCAGATAACGGGGACCGTCTACTGCAACTTGCACAGACCACAACCTGTTTCTGGCTAGCACTAACTTTCGGCACAGTCATCGCCGATGTGCCACCTGGCGTCCTCCCTCTGCATCTCAAGCCTGGACTCAGATTGATCACATCGCGATCAGCTACCGCTGGCGTGGTTGTGTAAAAGACTGCCGCTCCTTTTGGAGTACCTATCTGGACTCTGACCATGCCTTGGTCTGCGCCAATCTTGCCTTACTTTTCAGTGGACAACGAAGTGACCACCACCAACGGATTGATGTTAGCAAGCTGGTTGCAACTTCTGTTGCAAGTAAGTATCGAACCGAGCTAGCCTCTAGGCTAGCTACCACTCCACCGAAAAGTATAGATGAGCATTGGTTGCAATTGCATGACGCCATGAAAATGGCGGGAACAGTCAGTTGTGGGTTTGCGAAACGTCCCGCTTTTAAGCACTGGGTTTCTTCTGGTTCCTTACAACTCATTGAAGCCCGTCGGTCTACTCCGGGTGACCGTGAGTTTGACCATAAACGAAGGATGTTACGTAAGGAAATTGGGCAAAGCTTGCGTAAGGACCGAGAAGCCTGGTGGTCGATGCGTGCTAATGAGCTGGAAGCAGCAGCTGCATCTGGTAACTACCGGAAGCTCTTCCAGCTCATCCGAGCCACTGGCAGCAAGAAGTCTGGTGTGAGTGAAACAATCTGCGAGGATGATGGGATGCCAATCACTAACATCCATCGACGTCTTGGACGATGGGCAGAATTTTTCGAAGGGCAGTTCAACTGGCCTGCTGCTCCGGCAACATCGGTCAGACTGTCCTGCCCTCCATGGCCGGTGACGACTGATCCACCAAACGAGGAGGAAGTCCGCAAGGAACTCCAACTCTTGAAGCGTTACAAATCACCTGGCCCAGATGACTTACCTCCGGCTCTTTTTAAAGATGGTGGTGACTTTTTGACTAAGGAATTGACGACGTTGTTTACAAAGGTTTGGGAACTAGAGAGTGTACCAACGTCATGGAATGAGTCGATAGTTGTCCCTATCTTTAAAAAGGGTTCACGTCGTTCCTGTAACAACTATCGGGGGATAAGTCTACTTCCGATTGCGTCCAAGCTATTGGCTTCCGTCATACTTCGTAGGTTGTTCAAAACCCGAGAAAGATTGACTCGCGAGGAGCAGGCTGGGTTTCGTTCTGGTCGAGGATGTATTGATCATATCTTCACCCTCCGCCAAATGTTAGAACACCGCCATACTTTCAAAGGCCAACAATCGTAGTGTTTCTTGACATCAGGGCTGCCTTCGATTCGTTGGACAGGACTGTTCTCTGGGATTGTCTATTGAAGAAGGGTGTGCCTGAGAAGTTTATTAACATCCTAAAAGCCCTATATAAAAACACCTCAGGCAGAGTGAGGGCATACAACCACCTCTCTCCATTGTTCCATTCGAGCAGTGGGGTTAGGCAGGGTTGCCCAATCTCACCATTCCTCTTCAACTTTGCCATCGATGACATTCTGGAAACAGCTCTGATGAATGTAAGTAATGGTGGTGTGGATCTGTTGCCTGGAGAAAGACTTCTCGACCTTGAGTATGCGGACGATATTGTCTTACTGTGCGATAATGCCCAAGGCATGCAATCCGCACTTAATCAGTTGGCAATCAGTGTCCGTAGGTATGGTATGTGCTTTGCACCTTCGAAGTGCAAAGTACTTCTACAAGACTGGCAGGATTCTAATCCTGTACTCACCCTGGATGGTGAGCAGATAGACGTAGTTGAGAAGTTCGTGTATCTGGGTAGCTGCATAAGTGCTGGTGGGGTGTGAGTGATGAGATCAATGCACGATAGTGAAAGCCAGAGCGGCTTATACCAATCTGGTCCATATTTGGCGCCTTCGTGATGTCAGTCTGGCTGTAAAAGGTCGGATCTACAACGCGTCGGTGAGAGCAATTCTGCTCTATGCTTGTGAAACCTGGCCTCTCCGAGTTGAGGACGTTAGACGACTCTCTGTGTTCCATCATCGCTGTCTCCGAAGGATTGCTGACATCCAGTGGCAACACCATGTTAGTAATGCAGAGGTTCGGCATCGTGTGTTCGGGCACAGAGATGATAATGCCATTGGTGTCACCATCTTGAAACACCGACTTCGGTGGCTTGGACATGTTCTACGAATGTCGTCCAGAGAATTTACTTTCTTCATAAAAAGTGGTTGTTTCTTCCTTAACTGAAAGATTTCTTCTGATTGTACCTTTCCATTTCCCCCATTATTACCATTATTATTATTACTCTGCCTTACACTAACCTGGTCGTTATTATTCTTTCTTTCTTTTACGCTCCTTACCTTTTTTTCTCTTCGAATTCTCATTGTTTTGTGTGGCGCATATATATTTGGTGCCCTCTTGTACCAATATTTATGTTTTCAAATAAATAAATAAATAAGAGCTAATAATTTGTGTTTTGGCAAGTCGTCTCATATCATCCCTACATACTTTCTGTGAATGATTTCAAAGACTTTTCTGGGTAGTCATACATTATATTAACTGAAATAAACTATAAAAACATCAAAAAATGATTATTTAACTAACCTGGTCTGCACCATAATATTGTAGAATATTGATATGTTCCAAACCTGGAACATTAAAAAGTGCAACTTCTGTTTCCCAACTACGTTTCTCATTTGACGTGAATACTTTTATAGCTACATCGATTTCTTTTTTGTTCTTATTTAATGATAATTGTGATGAATTTAGATTAAAATCGTCCTGATCATCCGGTGAAGAAAATCGGCCGAGCCATACTTGGCCAAAACGTCCGTGAGCTTTTAACTCAACTTTCTTTATGAATGAGCACAACTAATATACGAGTAAGAATTCATAAAACCAAATCGATTTTTATATTTGTTGAGTTTGAAGTTAACGCAATAATGCAATCGCTAAGTGTCAGTTACACTAATAATTCATCATAGAAAATAATTGAGAAATGAAGTGAACAGACAAATGGGACCATATTTCTAGAACTATAGAACATTGACTTAATATATCAGCGAACTATTGAGAGACCATGGTTCAAGACTATCCAAGTCTTTGTCACCTATATGCACCGGGAATCACGAAAAATGCATACACGTTTTGGGTTTTAGATCACCTAATAGTTACAGTTGAGCTAATCAACTAATCGTTTCAATAACCGGTGCACAGAATGATTTCTACGTTACAATCGGTGAACATGACAAAACAAGTATTATTTGAACTTATTCAATCTATGAGTACCAGTATCGCAGTTTTTTATCGCTAGAATGAACCATACAGTGAACGTAACTTAATCAACGAGGATTTTATTTCGTGATATTTTTCTAAATGCTATCCGGCCGTTGCTGCTACCTTGACGTGGTGCTTGGTGCTTGCTTATCGTGATGAAGCAATCGGGTTATACTGGCTGGAGCAAGCGCTCCTCAAGGTCCTACAATGTCAGGCAGGTCGGTTGAAGAATGGTAAGACTAAAGTCAGCAAACCCAAGGTCCGAGGGAGAAGTCATACTACTGACGGTACAGAGATGTGACGGCAGTAAAGTTTTTCCTTCAGAGCAGCATAACAGCGAAGCTGCGTTCCTACAAAGGAAAGTTGGGTTAGATAAGGTCGACCCTAAAAATGCACACCTCACCATATCCCATGGATTTCCGTCTCCGGCGCTAAGGTCTCAACAAGTACGGAGCTAACACAGAAATTACCCACAAAAAGGTCGACTATTAACTCGAAACTCCCTCCTCAAGTGTCATCATGGCCAACGATTCTAGTGCGCAAAACACTGTCCCAGGTCTACTGAAACCTCGCTCCAAACTACACATGAGAGACTTTAACGTACATACCCTATGTCGTATCGGCCAGCAGGTCTCCTTGGCTAAGACCCTAGAATCTCGTACCATTGATGTATGCTGTGTCACCGAAGCACACATAAGGGATCCTACTGTAGTCATTCACTCGACCTTGGTGGGTGTATGCATAGCACTAAGTATGAGGGCTGAACAAGCACTTTTAGAATAGATCTCTGTTAACTCACCTATACGCAGTCCAGTCAAACAGCTCCGTAAAAACTCCGAAGGATAGGAACAGACGTCATTGCCTTTTGTCGTTTTTGACTACGCTTCTACTGACTGCAGCCCGAATGAAGTGAAAGATGAATTTTACAGAACGTTTTCTGCAAAAAGCTAAACACCCCGACATAATACTCGTGGCATGTGACTTTAATGCCAAAGCGGGTAGCTTAAACCAAACAAAGAGATATTTAGGTGGGCTACTCCGGCTCAGCGAACAGATAACGGTGGCTGTCTGCTGCAAATATACTCAGACAATCGTGTATTTATAACAAGCACTAATTTTAAGCATAAGGAGAGACATCGTCTAACATGGCGACCCCTTGCACCAAACCAATGATGGACTCAAATAGACCATATTGCCATCATTCATCGTTGGAGAGGCTCGATAGAAGGCCGTCACTCGTTCTAGAATACCTGTTTGAACTCCGATCATGCACTAATACGAACACGCATTTGCTTGCGCCTCACTGAACTCAAACAAATACATTAAGAAGACCCATTAGAATTTACCTTAGTGACGAGAAAGCCAAAAGTAGATTCCAGGAACAAATGAGTCCATTTTATGCGATTGCAAAATAATAAATAAGAACTTTCGTCTAAATTTGAACGAATAGTCTCACAATATTGGGCGTCGAGTTAATTTGAGACATTAAAAAGAAGAATATATTTGTAAAATCTCAGCGAATGAATTTTTAAGTAAATCCAACGTTTCGCTTGGCAATCTGGTCCAAGCTTTTTCAAGGAAAGCTTGGACCAGATTGCCAGGCGAAACGTTGGATTTACTTAGAAATTCATACGCTGAGATTTTACAAATATATATTTCTTTTTAATGTCTCAAATGAGTCCATTGTTGGGTGATTCATAAAACGAGGCCGATCTAGATGTTGCTTGCAAAGATACACAAACAGATGTGAAAACAGCAGCGACATCTATTAGTGATTCGAACCAAAGGGTTACGAAAAACCAATGGATTTCTACTAAGTCCATTGCACTGATGGATTCTCGTAAACTCATCCCATCAGGCTCTGAACACGATGAAGAACGAAAACAAATCAGATCTGGGTAAACCAAAAGTCTAAGGTGGACAACGAAAGCAAAAGAGATGGAAAAGGCAGCAGTTGTAGGTAACACAAGATAGCTTTTCAGACTAATGAAAGAAACTGGAACTAAAAAGTCAAGTGTAAGTGATACTATCTCGGAAAAAGACGATACCAGACGTTTAGAACGATGGACGGAACACTTTAAGAAGCAGTTCGGCTGGACTTCAACTACTTTGCAACTACCCATCATTCCCAGACAGTGTGAATGGAACATTGAAGTAGGTTCTCCCCCCCCCACCGACTTTAACTGAAGTTTAAAAGGTTATAGCTAATCTGAAACGAGGAAAAGCAGTTGGTTCAGATGGATTGGCTCCAGAAGTCTTTAAGTATGGTGATCCAGTTCTAGCGATTAGGTCGACTAATATTTTAGCTAAAATCTGGGAGTTGGACGTAATCCCATCTGACTGCTCACAATCACTTATTGCCCAATATATAAAAAGGGGTCAAATCATCCTGTGACAACCATAGGGGGATTAGTTTGACTAACATAGTATCTAAAATACTAGCCTCAGCAATTATCAGGCGCCTAACAAAGATTCGTGAACTGCAAACACGAGAAAATCAGGCTGCCTTCAGACCTGGTTGTGGCTCTACCGACCACATATTCACCATTCGTCAGGTTTTAGAACACAGGCATACTCATAGGCGTCCGAAAATGACAGTTTTTCTTTATTTAAAAGCAGCACCTTACTTTGTAGACCGAGAGGTTCTGTGGCAGTGTGTCATTGGAAGGTGTACCTCAGAAGTATATAAACCTCGTGAGGGCTCTTTACTCGAACACGATCAGTAGAGTCCGAGCTTGTGGAGAACTGTCATCTGATGTTGCAACCTCAAGTGGTGTCCGGCAAAGCTGTCCACTATATCCATTTTTGTTTAAATTCATAATAGACGTACTGAAGGAAATGACGTTCTCGTCGACTGAATTTTCAGGAATCGATATCACTCGAGGAGGTTCACTTATCGACCTAGAATATGCAGATGACGGATCCCTGTTTAGTGAAGACATTGGTAAAGTGCAAAGTCTATCGGAAGTACAGAAAAACAGCGCCAGGATGTTTGGAATGTGTTTCTCCCCCTTTGAATGCAAATCGTTGATTCAAGAAAGGCCTGCTTCAACACACGAGCTAACGATAAAGAGTGAAGAAGTCGAAGGCGTCAACAACTTCACTTATCTCGGAAGTCTGATCAGCCCTAATGGGTTGATGTCTGACGGAATCTCTACCCGGATTCAAAAAGCTCGTTTGGCTTTTGCCAACTTACGTCACTTATAGCGAAGGCGAGATATCCGTCTCAACTAAGGGACCAGTATACATGCAAATCATGCGGCGCATATATATTCGGTGTCTCTTTGTACCAATATTTATATGTTCAAATAAATAACCAGTATACCGCACAGCGGTTCGTTCTGTTTTACTTTACGGCTGCGAAACGTGACCATTAATGGTAGAGGATACTCGTAAGTTACTAGTATTTGATTACAGATGTCTTAGAAATATTGCTCGCATCTGCTGGGATCACCGGGTAAGTAATAGTGAGGTCAGACGCATGGTATTAGGGGATAATGGTAAACCAGTTGATGAGGTTGTGAACCTACATCGACTGAGATGGTTAGGCCACGTGTTGCGTATGTCTGAACACCGATGACCACGACGCACAATGCTGACTAGTGTTGGAGACGGTTGGAAGAAATTTAAGAGCGTCCAAATCAAAACGTGACATCATTCCATGAAGTCACTAACTTTGATATGAGCCATGTTGTTAGATGCAGACTATTTGGTTGGGGTCCGCGCAACTATCGTAACCAATGGTTCGAGACTCTGTGTGACGGCTTAGAGTCAATCACAATGGCGTAGGTGTATACACTCTTTGTTTTCCCTGAAACCGTGAGATTAGAATTGTGTTGTTACTTTTCTTTCTACGAACTGATTCTTTCTGTATCATATCTTTATATGCAATCTTTGTTTTATATATTAGTATCATTTAAGTATCTGCTTCTGCGAACTTGGTGTTCATCGTGTTGTGCTAATGAGGTATGGCAACTTGGACCGATGCGTATATGTGCCTGGTTCTACGTTTTAGGTGACTGACCGTGTGCCATCGACAATCCGCCTTTATCATAATAAATTTCTGGTTTTCCACCATCGTCTGTAGAAAACGCTATACAAATTTATTCTGATAAGACTGCTTTTCCGGTATCATCTCTTGTCAATACCAACTGATTTTCTTGTACCAAAAGTTGTAGGATTGCATCACTTCTCTGAGTTCTTTTCTTTATATACGAGAAACATTTCTTGCTATCTTCACAATCCATAACCAATTATTTTTCGTATAAATGTCTAACCTTACTTATCAACGGTTTGCACGCATTCCTAGTCTTACTATAAATGGATTCGTACTGTTCAGAGCCTGTCGAGATAACCATACTCTACAGCTTTTTCCTACGTCTAGGAAGTTTCTTGACCTGTCTAGTGGACTACTGTTGTAGTATCTGGAGCTTGGCTTGGGCTTCCCATCTGCTTATATGCAAAAACATCCCCGTCAATATACTGAAACTCCAATAAAACCATCGGTCAAGCCGTGTCTTTGTTTCGAGCTAGTATGAAGTAATTAAAGTTTTAGCGATCGCGTCTTGGCGTTAGGGGGCTATTTCAAGTCTGGAGTTTGGATTCAGCGGGTTATTTCACCCTAAGCACACTGAAGCTTCATCTTGAAATATTTTGAGTCGTGAACAATACAAAAGTTCAAGATGTATCTGGAGGTATTGGTGAGCGTTAGTTCAGTGTGTTCTATGTTTAAGAATGCAGATAAACCGAAACAATGCTTTGTTCTATGCCGAATCGAATCAATAATCGATGGTCCCATCTAGTTACTCTATATTTTCAGTGAAATTAGCCTCAACCTTCCTACCTTTTTCTTCTCAAATCAGGTCTAGTACAATTATCCTCCTATATGTTTAAACTTACATATGTCAATAAACTTCATTGAATCATTTGTCTTCATTAATTAAAACTTTGCACTGAACAATATCTATTTAGACGTTATACCATGCGCTATAAATGTTACGGAGGCGTGTATACACGAATACACTCAACAGACCCACAGTGCGGGCAAACGCGAAGTGATAACCATCCGCATACTTCTAACAGCACTCAAGACCACTGACTGACTATTAACAGACTGATATTGTTACTTTTCAATGGTTGTTTCAATCATATAACGAAAACAATACACACTTGTCCTGTGAACATAATATTTGGTGGGAAAATGCAATCAACATGGAACGACGATGTAACACCAGAATAAATATATCAAAGAATCTTTTGAATAAAACTAACCTCAATACATTCACTAGATAACCATCGAAGACCTGTTATTGGATGTTTAGATAAACTGTTCATTCCAAAATACTCATTTTGAGCAACTGATCCATTTGAAATATCATCTTTGACTGTATGACCACGTGTACACACAGAAAAGCAATGCAAAGGACTATACAAGTCAGACAACTTCCCGCAGTGTGTACAAGTTTTATGCTTCCATGAGAACCGCATGCTCTTTACAAGATGAACTATGAAACAAATTTAGAATACCTACCTGTTTTAGACGACACACACGACGTCGAGGCAAAAATAGAGCAAAAACGGAGAATATCAAGATTAAAAACAAACCAATAATTATCGGAGCTGTGATTATCAGAGTAAGGAAGCCATTCGTACGTTGTGTATCAAAACTTTGCCTTGGTAGTGGAGTATTTCCGAGTGGTCTTGAGTTCTGGATAAAAAAGGGATCTAACCCTGTCATAAGCAAGGATCTGTTGACTTGAGCTAAATAAAAAGAGTAAGGATAATAAATGTAATTCGCTCGAAAGAAAACGTAAAGGTTGCATTATGTGGGCTTGAAATATATAAACCACTTAATAATTTCTTTACTGTTTTGGATCACAATGAGCCATCATGGGAACAGATCAGCCAAAAACGAGATCAATTTAAAGGTGAGTAGTATTTTTGATAAGCTATCTACTACGTTTGACTTTAAGAGATGTAGCCGTAGTAGAATTTTAGGATGAATGAGCATTTCTATGACACATATACCAAGAAACACGAAAACGTTTCAGAATTTGACCTGAGATAAGTATAGAAACGGTTAATGAGCTGCATTTTTTAACATAGAACACATTGAACTAACGCTCACCAATACCTCCAGATACATCTTGAACTTTTGTATTGTTCACGACTCAAAATATTTCAAGATGAAGCTTCAGTGTGCTTAGGGTGAAATAACCCGCTGAATCCAAACTCCAGACTTGAAATAGCCCCCTAACGCCAAGACGCGATCGCTAAAACTTTAATTACTTCATACTAGCTCGAAACAAAGACACGGCTTGACCGATGGTTTTATTGGAGTTTCAGTATATTGACGGGGATGTTTTTGCATATAAGCAGATGGGAAGCCCAAGCCAAGCTCCAGATACTACAACAGTAGTCCACTAGACAGGTCAAGAAACTTCCTAGACGTAGGAAAAAGCTGTAGAGTATGGTTATCTCGACAGGCTCTGAACAGTACGAATCCATTTATAGTAAGACTAGGAATGCGTGCAAACCGTTGATAAGTAAGGTTAGACATTTATACGAAAAATAATTGGTTATGGATTGTGAAGATAGCAAGAAATGTTTCTCGTATATAAAGAAAAGAACTCAGAGAAGTGATGCAATCCTACAACTTTTGGTACAAGAAAATCAGTTGGTATTGACAAGAGAGTGCTGTATTTGAAGCTGCAGTCTAAATGCTATCCAATTCCTTCAAAAATTCGTGTACATCAACATAACGGGATCATAAATAAAGAAGACAAATGATAACTCACAACTTTGTAATGCTTACTACTATTTCCCTACTACTGTGCATAAGATAGCGTTAATCACTAAGTGATAAAATTTGTTTCCTAGACTCACTGGGAGGCGGCGATATTATGGTGTTATTGTCTACACCATTGCAAAGAGGACCTTTGCAACAACAATTGGTAAACCCTTCTTTCGATTCAGATAAAAGATAACACAGTCCTGGCTCCTTAGGACAATCAGGATCCTAGAATGCGATTACATAAAGTACTGAATTTACATCCGGGGACCAATGCCAGCAATCTTGGATATGTTCAATGTGTTTATTAGATTCATTTTGCCATCGGAGTGACAATAAGCAGTGAGAGACATCACGATCGCACTTCTTTCTTCGATTCTCCCCACAGTTAGATGCTGACGGTGTACAATGGCATTCCATTTACGCATGCAAATATGCACGTTGGGATATCATTACCATTATAAATACATTTTAACAACTACCGTAGCGAACCAAACCATCGGTACCGCTTACTTCATCTCAATCCTCAATTCGGATACAGATTCAGATTTGTATAAAAAAAGACGGAAACTCTACGACTTATGCTATTCCTTTTCCAGTATGCTCCTGTGAATATCCAGCCTTCTCTTAAACGAGTCAATTGGAGGAGCTGACATCACTGCTTCGGTAACAAGTTCCAATAATTGCTGACTTGGTGTGAAAGCCCTTATGCCACGAGTATATTGTTCATTCTAGGGTTTTATAGTCGCCTACTTTATTCTATGAGATGTATCAATCTAGTGTGAAGATGAAGAGAGTATACATTAGGTCCAAAATCTTTTCTTAGTATTCTATACATCAAAATCAAATCACCTCTTAATCTGCTGTAGGACAGAGAAAAAAGATTAAGCTTTTCAAGCCACTCTTCGTATGATAAACCTCGGAGTCCTGGAATTGTACGGGTAGCTAGTTTCCGCAATTTTTCCAGGATATCCAAGTCACCTTTTAAACAGGGGCTTGCACCCTGAACGTAGTATTCAAGCTTAGTTCTCACCAAGGTTGTGTATACTGTAGTGAACATAGTAGTATTCAAATTAGTGAACGTCCGTCTTAAAACCCATATGGTTTCTGACAGCGGGACGTGGTCTTAAGATTATGCCTTGTTGTCACCCCAAGATTCTTATGGGACCAGGTACTTCCCCTATGCTGTACCTATTTACCTTTATATCACCAAAGTACATGTAGACTCACTTTGCCACGTTGAAGGCGCCGGGCTTTTTACTTAGACCAGCTAACCAAAATACCTAATTCTGTCTGAAGTTGGCATGCATCTGCGTCTCCTGTTATTCCTCGCCAGATTTTTACATCATCAGCGTGTAGTGACACTGGGGACTCGACTATACTTTGGAGTTCATTTACGTACTGTATAAAAAGTAAATGACCTAGGACAGTCTAGATCAGTCTCTTTATTGGCACCTTGTAAAATACTTTGCTGAAGTTTTGTTCTCTGTCTAACAAGTTGTTGGTTTTCATGACTGTCATTGTGGTCTTTCCAGTATTTTAACTACAACAATGGTGAGGCCGACAGGTTTGTAGTTCGATTGAAGTTAACTTGATCCAGTTTTATGTGTTGAACTGACCATTGTATTGAAGATGCTACATGTATTCGGAGTTTGACAACGCCTTAACCAGTAACACCTAATATGAAGCGTACCCACCAAGTGAAATCAAAAGACGGAAGCGAGGAAGTTCGAAGAAATATTTGATATGCTATCAATATATCGAGAATCGTCTGATCTAATCTGGCTAGCGATTGCAGGGGTTGTTGAGCACGGCGTTCCCACTCGTGATCTGGCGCGGATGCATGACCGCGCGCCTTCATCTAGGTGAGTCCATTAAAACTAATGTGGTCAGCATCCAATATCGAAAACCTACAGAGCTATTTATTTTAGGGATTTATTTACCACTACAGTATCCTTCCAGTTCGTAGATAACTCATTTCGGCCAAGTGACATATTGAATATCCCAGTCAGTAGGGCTGCAATATATTTTGCATTTAGTCTCAAAAATGAGGGTCCTGTTGACTTTTCGGTGTCTTAATTGTTAAGGGCTCCAAATACAATGTCTCGATCAACGCCTACAATGTGCAGACGGTTTATTGACTTTTTTTCAAGTGAAAGCTGTCGCAACTGTTATATCCCGATGCGAATTATGAATGGTAACCGTTTGGATTTATTTCTGAACTACTACTATATGTTTATTTTTATCCCACAATTGTTAAGTAGCTAAACTATTCATATTCATCTTCCTTATATCATAAGCTACATTTTGATCTATAGACTATTATCATACGACTTACCATTCTTGAGTTATGCCCTGTCTATTAATGACTATCTCCCTCATTCACAGCCATATTTGGCTAAATCTTATACAAATGTTGTTTCATATTTTATGGTACGATGTGGTCTGTCTAGTTGGTATATAAACCCAGTATGCTTGAAATAAATAATTTATATCGTAGAGGCTGGCCTTAACAGGCTGGGCTAGGTGGGAAACAGGACCGATAAGGACTCTAGACTGCTTGAACGGGTTTTATGCGTCATTGGTTCGATCGATAATTCACTGTTCTCTAATTAGCGGTATCATTACGTTATACATTAACAGGGCATACAGGTCACAAGTTATAACAGCAACATATTTTGCCATAGCCTTTTCTGTTTCACGATCATCCCCTATCATTTGAGATCCACTGTCTTCCGTGATTATGTTGGGAATCCGATGCTGCGTCCATGTTCTGTAATCTATGTATGAGAATAGTCTCTTAGGCTGCTTGATTACAGAATGGGCCAACTGCATCTCATATTTTCTCTGAGCTTTTCGTATTGTAATTATTCAGTAGCAGAGGATTACTTATGCTTCCATGTAAGAACCTAGGCATATTTAACGAGCAAAAGAGAAATATTAGTAGATTGTAGTGGAATACTGTCCTGAGTCTTTCAAAGGCTTTTGAAAGATGTCTTATTAACTTGTTAGTATCATACTCATAATGAAACGTTGAGTGATAAGACCTCATTTCTACATTGATTTAGGCGTGTTTTAAAAGGAATATTCCGTGACTGTCATCATTTTAACTTGAGATGGGAAATATTAACCTTAGAACATTAGATGGTTCAAATAGTTATTGATGGAATATGAGGAGTTTCCAATTTACGTGCGTGTTAAATAGCGACGGATCAACAGTGTCCTCAAGAAGGGAGCTAAATACGTGGAACAAACGGGAGTATTAATAGTATCGATAAATCAGTAAGATAAGTTGTTCTGAGTCCTTGAGAATACATCGACTTTACTATAAGTTTTCGACACTTACACTGACCCCATTAGTTTTACTTTACATACTGTGGCTGAGAGCGCTTAGTTACGTATCCGCGACAAATGTCTTTCTCCATTTCCCGGCATAAAGTGTTCTTTGGTCTTCCTCTCCTCCTTTGACCTTGAGGATTCTGTGTGAGGGCTAGCCTTGTAACGTAGTTCCGTGCATTCCTCAATGTGTATCCCATCCACTTCCGGCGCTTCTTCCTGATTTCTTCCTCCAATGGGATCTGGTTTGTTCTCTCTCCCAGAGCACGTTGTTGCTGATAGTGTCTGACCAACGGATCCGAATGATGCTGCCCAGTTGTGTGAAGGTTTATACATCTTCCAAATCTTCTCCGTCAATTGTGATCGGATTAGTGGATGCTGTGTTGTATCGGAGAATCGTTCTTTTCCCTTTTTGTATGTTGAAGCCTACTGTTGCTGCTACACTGGTCGTTTTCCCCTGCATTTGTTGTTGCGTATGCGATAGAAGAGACAGATTTTTTTTAAACATTGTCCATCATTTTTTACTTTACTCTACGAATTTCTTCGTCCATTTATATATTTTTTCCTCATCATGACAGAACAGAAAGCCTCCTACCTTTCAACTCATGACATTCTGGCCCGATAATATCAAGGCCTGGTTCTGATACGTAAAAGCTGACCTCCTCCAAACATATGCACGAATCCCCACAGCAATGAATGCACGGCCGCGCGATTGCGATCAGCACTTTTCGACTAATATGTATACTAGTAAGGTTTCGAAACCTTACAACACCCTGAAGAAACTGACTTTAAATGAGAAGACATCTCCAGTAGTTAAAGTTTAGACCTGGTCTCTTACAACATTGAATTGCAACACGGCTCAACAACAGCGACTCGACTAGCACCACGAATTTTACAAAACACAGCCTAATCTGCAATGTGTAACCATGTAGGATTATGGTCTACTATGATATTAGTACTGAGCTAATAATAGACTTAATCCTAAAGTTGTACATTTGTCATTATATAACTGCCTAATCTATAAGATCTCACATGGAAGTCACATCATCGTGTACATCAAATCACTGGATCATAACAATTACCAATACACGATGGAGAACAAGCTTAGGCTAGAGAAAGAACAATATATTTGATATGAGTAAAAGATATAAGGTTACATTCTGCAGGGACCACGCCTGCATGGCTGAGCCATGCCATCCGATCAACTCCAATTAATTCAACTCATATTTCCTGCCTTTTCCATCGTTAGGTATTTCTCCGCGTTAAATATTGAATATCTACTTTCCGAGTAGTCTCGTGTTCAGCTTTGAAGATTGTGTGGTTATGGTCCAATGCCAGTACAACCAGCATCATTAGGCACCACATCGTATTTTCGAAAGTGTGCCAACTAGCTACTGATAAGTTAAGATTGACCAATGACAAATTTGATCAAATGAAAGAATTAGAAATTATCTATTTATTGAGCACTCCATGGGCATCTCCCTTGCACATGGTCCTTAAGGAGGAAAACAATAACAGACGTCGAACTGGTGGATATTGGTGTGTGGCAGTAAATAAATCCCTAAAATAAATAGCTCTGTAGGTTTTCGATATTGGATGCTGACCACATTAGTTTTAATGGACTCACCTAGATGAAGGCGCGCGGTCATGCATCCGCGCCAGATCACGAGTGGGAACGCCGTGCTCAACAACCCCTGCAATCGCTAGCCAGATTAGATCAGACGATTCTCGATATATTGATAGCATATCAAATATTTCTTCGAACTTCCTCGCTTCCGTCTTTTGATTTCACTTGGTGGGTACGCTTCATATTAGGTGTTACTGGTTAAGGCGTTGTCAAACTCCGAATACCTGTGGTGTCTTCATTGGTTGGCCCGACGTGATCTGGTACACCAAATTGCAAACTGTGAATCTGTTCCGTTTCGGGATTTTGTATATTATTGCCTTATTCTAATTTTTTATACATTGTGATATCTCTTTTAGTGTTTTTATATATTTTTTTTCACTCGTTCATTCTTGTACTTGATATTTCACTATGACTGAACAGATACCCAAGGTACTTAAGCTAAATACTATGTCCCCAC